ATACTTCCATGAATATTGATTTTTCTAGTCACATAACATTAATTGTTACATAATTCTGCTTTTAAGTAAATAGTTCACTGCTGCTACAGATGGTATTAGTTTTTTAACTGATTGTAAAGAAGAAAAAACAAGAACATTGAATGCATTATACTTTTTGATGCAATATTAGACTTAAAGTAAAATTCATAAAAGCTGAAAATGTAAATTTTTCTGTATGTTTCAATTGCCTCATGGGAGTTAAAGGTACAGTGTTGGTTTTCATTTTATCATTTCTACCTTGGTGCAAAATGAACAGTAATTTTAAATCTTCTCTAGATGCCCAGAGACAGACTTTTATCTAAAATGTGCATGGGGCACCTGGGTGGCTCAGTCGGTTGAACATCTGACTCTTGATTTCAGCTCAGGTCATGATCTCAGGGTCATGTTTTGAGTCCCGTCTTAAAAACCCCATGACAGGCTCCATACTCCATGCTCAAATCAAACCCCATGACAGACTCCTGCTTGAAATTCTCTCTGTCCCTCTCCCTCTGTCCCTCTCCTTTTGCCCCTCCCTCAGCTAGCATGCATTCTCTCTCTCTCCCTCTCAAGTAAATAATAAATAAATACATAAATACATAAATACATAAAATGTGCACAATAAGTTGGGGTGTCTGACTTGCTCAGTCAGTGGAGTGTGCAACTCTTCATCTTGGCGTTGTGGGTTCGAGACCCATGTTGGGTGCAGAGGTTACTTAAAAAATAAAATCTTTAAAAAATAAATTAAGCAAATTAAGTAAAATTAGCACAGATAAGCCAAGACCTAGAAGGATCCTTTAGATATTTCCTCTTTTGGGGGACAGTCTCAAATTTAAACTTCATCTGAGGAAGAAGATATATAAATATTTGCCACTCTTTGCTGACTTTAGAATCTAGTTTGAAGTATTTTCAATGAAATCCTTTGTGTGCTACAATTTCATTTGATATTATGAACATTTTATTTGCAGTAAAAATAAGATTGTTCCTTTTATGTGGGAGTCCATATGTGATTCTTATTTACAATTCTGTGCTTATCTTTATTTTTTTACATGCAAGTGATCTCCATGTTTTGTTTTATAATCTGACATATAATTAAAGCATCCTAAGCCATGGAGAAAAGGCCGTCAGCAAGACCATACATCTTGTCTGCATAGCTGTTTCTTTTCTTACTGCCATTCTTAAGAACATATGACAAGCCAGTTGAAATAAAATTTCTGTGTTTAAAAACTAAATTGTATCAGGAAGCACAGAATTGTGATTGAGCGCTAAAGATAAAACATACTGCACTACTATGAAGGCCTATTCCTACTGAAAATGTAAGGCATTTTTATATTAACAATATGTCTCCTAAAGTGTAACAAAGTAAGCCTCAGATTATAATGCAACTTGAAAGATTCTCAACATATGCAGCAACTTGATTCCACCATGATTAATTAAAATCCTTTACATTGTCAGTAAATGACTTCATAACTGGCTTGAAAAGAACCACCATTTGGAAGCCTCAATAAATGATTTTAAAATTTTGTCACAGTTTGTGTTAAACATAACATTTTAAAGAGAGTAATGTATCCAGTTTCAGTTTTCCCATTCTTTCTCCATAATGAATTCTATTTTATGCCTTTTCTCAATGACTTTTCAGTTTTGTGAACAATATCACATACTTGTTTCCTTTAATATGGATAGTGATCATTGCATTTGTCTTTGAAGGTTCCTGGGGAAAATATTATGTGTTCCAGGGCCTTTTCTTTATTCTCTTCTTTTTAGTGAAACCCTTTTAAGTATCCAGGAAAAAGAAAGTATCTATTGATTTGGCCTGGCTTAGGGATTTTTTTACTGTAACCTGTAGCAAGATGGCTTTTGAGCTTGTTCTCTGAGGCTTGCACAGTAGAAGTCAATGCAGAAGCCCAGCAGAGGTCTTAAATAGGTGCTATTATTTTTTTTTTAACTACTGAAAATCCCACTATCAGATAGTGTATTATAGCAGTGAGTGATTTTTTAACTTATTTAATTTATTTTTTTTTAAGATTTATTTATTTATTTCAGTGAGAGAGAGTGGGGGGGAGCACAGTGGGGAGGAGCAGAGGAAGAGGGAGAGAGAAATTCAAGCAGATCCCGAACTGAGCATGAATCCTGACGTGGGGCTCGATCTCACCACCCTGAGATCAGACCTGAACTGAAACCAAGAGTCAGAGGCTTAACTGACTGCACCACCCAGGCACCCCTGATTTTTTTTTTTTTAATAATTGCTGCTGGTTTAGAAGGGCCCTGTAGGCAGAGAGGCATTCTTCAAGCCTCTCAGGCTAGAACACTTCAGTGAGCATCTCCATCCCTTACTTCCTCTGTCTCCTCTATTACCTCCTTTCTTCCCACACTTATTAATATAAAGAACAGTATGAGTGATTCTCAAAAAGGCATGCTAAGCATAAGAAGGCAGCCACTCTTATGATTTTTCAAGTACATGAAATTTTAGAAGCAAAACTAATCTAGAGTTGCAGAAATATATAGAACACAAATATATATAGAAATATATAGAAATATATAGAAATATATATAAAAATATATATAAATATAAATATATATAAAAAATATATATATATAAAAATATATAGAAATATATAGAAAACCTCCTGTGCTCTCACAGAATTTAGTCCAACTTAGTGGAAAGATGAGATCGGTCTATGAGTATGTTCAGTAAAAGTCCATGGATGACAAATAAGTACCATACTCTAAGTGCTAGAAGGGCTGATAACAAAAAGGAGAGATTCGTCTTCTCTATCGGGTATGGTAAATGAGCAGACTCAGACCTGTAGTCAGGCCACAGCTGTGTTTTGTTCAGCCCATACAAAAGCTTATGTTTTTCCCCTAAATTAAATTATTTTCTGACATTTACAAATTGGGAGATTTCACATGAAAATAAATATGAATTTTTGAGCTTCTCTTAAAAAGACCAGAATTTCAAGCATCTGAAAGCCTGCTTTCCCTTCCCCACTAGCAGTGATGAGTTGAAGCTGAGTGTCTCAGGCACATCGGACAGCCTCTGGCTTCCTCCACCCATCTGGCTCCTTCATTTGTCCACGCTTCTTACTTTTACCCAAAGGCATCTGAGTTAATGATCCCTGCTCTGTTCTCATCTCTGACACCACGTCAACACTTGTGTTCTTATCAAATGCTTCCTTTCACTTTTCCTCTTGTGCCTTGCTGACACCCTCCTAAATCAGGCCCCCATTCCTGCACACTTAGCAGCCAGAGAGCCTCTTGCAGAGCCCACCTCTTCCCATCTCCCACTTGGTACCACATGCATACCTTCGCCAATAGGTGGCATCCTGCCAGAGAGCATGAAAGTAAGAGGAGAGGCAGGGATCACTGCCAGAGTGAGCATCCAAAGTAGATCCTGTAAGGTACAGGCCAAAGATAAGAGGTTTAGGACCAGTAAAGAACTATGAAAAAGTTTCTCAGAAGTGGTGGGTAAATAGAGAACAAAAGGCAAAGAACAAAGATGAATCTTAAAAAAGAGCGAAAATGACCAACAAGCACCTGAAAAGATTCACAACATCATCAGACATCAGGGAAATTAAAATTGAAACCACGGCGCAAGGACTACCACACCTCCACTAGAATGACTAACATTAAAAAGGCTGACAATACCAGTGGATATGCAGCAACTGGAATTCTCATATCTTGCTAGCAGGAATGTAAGATGGTATAGTACCACTTTGGGAAATAGCTTGGCAGTTTTTTATAGTTAAACACACACTCACTCTAGGTGTTTACCCATGAGGAATGAAAACATGTGTCCCCACAAACACTATTACATGGATGTTCATAGCAGCTTTGTTCATAATAGCCCCAAACTGAAAACAATCCAAATGTCCATATGTGGAAAAATGGATCAACGCATTGTGGTATGTCCATTCAGTAGAATACACTCTACAATAAAAAACATAATGAGCTCTTAATACACAGAATAACATGCTTGATTCCTAAAAGATTATGCTGATCAAAAGAAGAGAGATACTGTATAATTTTTATGTGTATAAAATTTTAGAGGCAAAACAAAGTAACAGAAAGTAAACCAGTGATTGCCCGGGACCAGAAGTAAGAGAAAACTGACTGCAAAAGGTCAAGAGAGAATTTGTTGGAGTGATGGAAATATTCTACATCTTGGTTCTGATGGTGATTACACAGGTGTATATAGTTGTTAAAACTATATACATATATAATTGTATATATACATACATATATGCTGTATACATATGTATGTATATATGTATATATAACTGTATACTTAAAATATGTGTATATTATTGTATGTAAATGTTACCTTAATAAAGTTGATTAAATAAAAAAATAATTTAAAAGGACAGGCAGTTAAAGGAGGAGGACAAATGGGCAACCAGGATAGGAAGTAAAACAGAGGTGAACAGCAAGGGCATGAGATATTACACATGAAGACAACAAAGTGCTAACTTGAGGCCAGAATGGATTTTTGAGAACCTTCCAGTGAAATCCCAGTTCTAATCACACCAATTGTCTCATTACCTCTATCAGTGCTTGCAGTTCTTCTCTCATGCTGGGAATCCGTTTGTTCCTCTAACTTGGAATGATATATGTCTGCCCTCCCCACTGACACACACGTTAAAAAGTGTTTTCTATCACATTGCATTGTTTTTTTTTCTTCCAGGGAACTTAGCACATCTGAAATCTACTTTGATTATGTATCTGTTTAATGGTTGTCTGTCTCCTTACTCTAGTTAATGATCACCTTAAGATAGAAATCTTTCCTAACTTGTCACTCTGTCTCCAGCACCTAGCCTGAGATCTGGCTTATTGAAGACACTCAATGACTAATCACTGAATGAATGAACAAATGAAAATGTAGTAAGCAAATAATAAATACCCAGTGTTTGCTCTTGTTTTTCCCTGAAATTTTCTTTTCCTAAAGTTCTTTCTTTCTTTCTTTCTTTTTTTTTACCTAATTTTTACAGGTACTTCTGTTGTGACTGTAAAAGCTGTTGCTCCTGACCCAACACAAGACAGCATTAAATATTCCATTTTTAGTGGAAATGAAGATGGGGTTTTTTCCCTGTGCTCCAATTCAGGTGATCCTTCTCTCTCCTGTAATAGCTTTTTTTTTCTGCTTCATTTAATGTTACTAGTAAGAAATTCTTCTGCAGAGGAAACTCAAAATTTGAAAGATAGAAAAATTAGAGGCAAATAATTTAAAAAAGAAGTAAGAAACAATTTTTTTATGGTAGCTGATGAGAAATTGTGGGAAATCAAGACTACTTATTTGTTTACATGTACTTGCTAAGAATCCTGTTCTTCACATTTGGCAGTACCTAGCCTACCCTTTGAATTTTTGAAGATAAACTGGTTTCTACTGATAATTTACTCATCTATTTGGGAAAATGGGAGATATAGAAGAGAGACCATCAATATTGAGTTTGAATTGAAAATAACCATACATGTCTAGCTGTAGGGCATTTTCATCACGAGATTCTTCTAATTCGCCACTGAATGTCAACAATGCAACAAAAAAGGACAGCTGGAAAGGTTTCTATGTGATGGTAAAGAAATTACTTCCAAATACAGCATGTATTAAATTTAACTTTAATAAGACCATTATTGTGTTTTAAATGAATACCAATTGATTATATGAAACATACTTTTTTGACTAACAACTATGTAGTAGATACATATCTACTGCTGCGTTGTCAAACCTCAAGAAGAATGTTTTCAATAATTTCTATATTACCATACAACTGCCTTATGTAATCTGTACTACATGCACATGGGAAGAATTGAGAGGGAGTAGTTTCTTAAGCAAAGGCCTTCTTATCCCGGGTAGTTTTCTGGCTCTGGTCCGTACCAGCTTTGGTCAGCAGCCTTTCTGAGGTAGCCTGCTAGCTCTTCATCTCTTTAACCAAACTTTGCCCCATCGTTTGGTTAAAGGGTGGTGCAGGAAGCCTGTTGACAAGAAGGCCTTTGTGAACATCATCCAGCCTTAAGCTTCTAGCAGTCCACGGGTCTGAAGGTCCTGGGAAAGGAGCTGAGATTAGAATGCTCAGAAAGAAGGAGAGTAGCAGAGTTTGTACAATTTCCCAGGCTACCCACATCCTTCTGTCACCTCACCCTTAACACAGCCCAGGCTTGGCCTTATTTTTTCAGGAGTCTCTAAAATTCATGTAAAATATGCCTAGGGTTAGTCCAAAGGGGACTTTCACAAAAAACTCTTCATTTTTCAATTAAATGTTTATTTATGTTGAAGTTTTTTTTCACAAGTTTATTGTGAAACAGCTGCAAGAAGATACGCTAAAACATAGAAAATTCTTTAATGGCCATGTACTTGCCATCCATCTCCAGAGATGAGACATTACTGGAACCTCAGGAAGTCCCTGTGTCTCTCTACTTTGATCCAAGGCAATCCATAACCAGTCCTCTGAGTTTGGCATTGATCACTGCCTTTCTTTCTTGATAATTTTCCAACTGTGTCTGAATTTCTAAATGATGTGTTATGTCCTTTTACCTTGGTTGAAACATCATGATAGGATCGTGCTAATGTCCTCTCATCTATGACTTGATTCTTTTGCTCAACATTTTGACTGTGGTGCATACGCCGTTATGCACACATTAGGGAGGAGTAGCAAAGATGTACCTGCTGCCAAGGTTATAAACCAGAGCACAGCCATTATCGTCAATGCTTCCTTTGAGCCCTTTTCCGATCGCTTTCTTTCTGTCCACGGCTGCAGGCTGACTAGTGTCCCTACTTCAGGGACAATCATTCCCTTGTGACTTATAGTAAATGCATTTCTCTACAATAAAACTGGTTTATTTTTGAATTTTATATAAATGGATTAATAGTCTGTGTATTTTATTGGGATTCGATTCTTTTTATTCAAAATTAGAATCTTTCGTGTTAATGTGTGCAGATGGGTTTTTTTCACTTTCAGTTCTTTATGGCCTTCTGCTTTAAGTCTGTGTCACAACTTATTTATCCATTCTACCATTGATGGACAGTGAGGTTTTCCTGTCTGGGGATATAATAACAAACACTGTGAGGAGCGACCTCATACGTGTCTTCTGGTGCATATGTGAGGAGTTCTCTGGGCCCCAGAGTCTAGGCTGGGCATATACATCAGAGGATGCATATGTTCAGCATTACAGATAGTGCCAAATTGTTTTATGAAGTGGTTTGCTCCACTTTACATTCCACCAGCACTGAATGAGAGCTATCACGGTTGTTTACGCCCTATTTTCTATTGTCAATCTGGTGTGTGTGAAATGGTATCTCACTGCGGTTGTCATTTGCATTTCTTTATTACTAATGAATGTGAGCGATTTTTTTCACAGTGTATTGGCCATTACTGCTTTCTCCCATGTGAAATGCATTTTGATGCACTTCATCTATTTTTCTACTGGGTTGTTTCTACAGTTGTTTGTTTCTGAAGTATAAGGATTTTTAATAAATTTCAGTAGCATTTCTCCTTTGTTTTTTGTTGCAGATATATTTCACAGTTTGTGACTTGTCTTTCACTCTCTTACTGGTACATTTTTATTTTGATGAATTAGAATTAGTCTTTTACTTTATGATTTTCCCATTTTGTAAGTGAAGAAATTCTTCCCTATCCTGAGATCAAGAAAATATTGTTGCATTGTCTTTTAAAATTGTTAGTGGTTTTCCTGTGTTTCACGTTTACATCTATAGTGCATCTAGAATTTATTTTCCTATTTTACGTGAGTTAGAGATAACTTTCCCTTTTTCTTTTTCTTCTTTTTTTTTTTTTTTTTAAGAGGATTACCAGTAATTCCAGGGACAATAACCTTCCCCTGTGACCTGAAATACCCCCACTGTCATATGTTGTTTCCATAACTGTTTACAGGATGCTTGACTCCTTTGCACTCATCTCTTGGTCTATCCACACACCAATACCACACTCCCTTAATCGCATAGACTTTATAATCAATCTTCATACCAAGGAAGCAGCCCCATTTTCATGTTCTTCATGAGTATATTAGCTGTTATTGGCCCTTTGCACTAATATGAATCATTGTATCCACTTGCCAGATTTTCACACACACACACACACACAGGCCTATTGGGATTTTTTCCCGAGGAAAGGAGATTTATTCATAGGCTTTGGGTGATGTAAGAGCTATCCACACTTTTCATACATGAAACCCAGGTAATCATGACATGCACATTTGATTTCAGGTGAAACCTCACTTGAATTAACAAAGAAAATGTCCAAAACAATTGCATGGCCTCAATCTAGAATTTAAGTAACTAACTCATCAGGCCAAAGTATCCTCCTCACAAAGCTCTGTATAGTGGTGCATTGTAACTAATAATCATCTACCAAAGCTCTTCTTTTCTTTTAACTGTGGTAAGAACATTTAACATGAGATCTACTCTTTTAGCAAAATTATAAGTGTGTACAATACAGTACTGCTAACTCTAGGCATAGTGTTGTCCAGCAGGTTTCTAGAACTTATGCATCTTGCATAACTGAAACTTCATACCCACTGAACAGCACTTCCCCATCACCATCACCCCTCCCCCATGGCACCTGGCAACCACCATTCTATTTCCTGCCTCTAGGAGTCTGACTATTTTAGATACATCATATGAGTGGAATCATGCCATATTTATGTTTCTGTGACTGGCTTGTTCCACTCAACTTTGCGTTCTAGGGGTTCATCCATGTTGTCACGCATGGCGGGATTCTCTTTGTTGAGACTCAATAATATGCCATTATGTGAATACGCTATACTTTCTTTGTCCATTCATCCATCCATTTAGGTTACTTGAATTTTTTGTTGGAATTGTATTAATTCTAAATATCATTTTGGGGAAAGCCTGTATCTTTACAGTATTGTCTTCTAATTCAGGATAATACAGAAAAATCACATCCATTGTTTCCTTAAATATATTTTAATAAAGTTTTAATTTTTTTATAGCAGGCTTGCATGGTTTTTGTTAGATGTAGTCTAAATCCTTTATACTTTTTCTTGCTAAAGTAAGTGAAAAAAATGCTTTTTATGACAATGCTATTAGGTATACTTGAAATTAGCATTTATATTTTGATTTTGTATCTAGAAAACCTGTAAACTACTGATTCTAATATTTTTCTGAGCATTTAACATATATGATCGTTACCTAAAGATGAACCATCTTCCCTGTGTTTGCTGGAATTATATAGCTATTTATCTTCTTTTAGTGGTTAGCCTAGCTATTTTAACATATATAATTGAAGTCTAACATTAATCAATGTCCTGCTCCTGAATAATACAAGAGACTTAGAATTCTTTATCTCCAGATATCCCTTTTTCAACTTATAAGCTCCTGTGGGCCACAATTATAGTTCTTTCCAATTAGACATTATTAATATTTTTTCTCTGTTTTTTTATTATGTTATGTTAATCACCATACATTATATCATTAGTTTTTGATGTAATGTTCCATGATTCATTGTTTGCGTATAACACCCAGTGCTCCATGCCCTCTTTAATACCCATCACCAGGATAACCCATCCCCCCACCCCCCTCCCCTCTAGAACCCTCATTTTGTTTCTCAGAGTCCATAGTCTCTCATGGTTCATCTCCCGCTCCGATTACCCCCCGTCTTCATTTTCCCCTTCCTACTATCTTCTTCTTCCTTTTTTTTTTTTTTTTAACATATAATGTATTATTTGTTTCAGAGGTACAGGTCTGTGATTCAATAGTCTCACACAATTCACATCGCTCACCACATTATTAATATTTTTAAATAGATTTCTGTGCTTCTTTGCTAACTGTTCTTTCTTACATCTCAAACTCGCCTCTGGTGTCATTTTCTTTCTACCTGAAGTACATCCTGTAGTGAGGGTCTATTGTAGTAAACTTGTTCAGGTTTGGTTGTCTAAAAATGACTTTGTTTAATTCTTGTTTTTAAAAAATATGTTTGCTGGTCTTAGAATTCTAAGTTCACGGTTGTTTTCTCTCATCACATTTAAGATATTATCCACTGCTTTCTGGTTTCCAGTTGTTGCATTAAGAACTTAGCTATTGATCTAAATACTGTTTATTTGTATCTTTTTTGGAACTCTAGTTAGACAAGTATTGAGCCAGACACTCTCTCCTACATCTCTTTTGCACATATTTCATCTCCTTGTCCCTTTCTCTTCAATCTTTATTTCTGGAAGTTCTCTTGGGTTCCTTGTATACAATTCCTGGTCTCACAAAAAAAATAATCTTTTTTTAAAAATTGAGGTATAGTTGACACACAATGTTACATTAGTTTCAGGGGTAAACATACTGATTCAACAAGTTTATATGTTATTCTACTCTCACCACAAGTGTAGCTACCATCTGCCACCATACAACGTTATTATAGCATCATTGACTATATTCCCTATGTTGTACCTTTTAACCCCATGATTTATTCATTCCATAACTAGATGCCTGTAAAAAAGTAATCTCTTCTTCCTTGCTCATGTTTCTAAACTTCTTTTTTATACATTTAAACATATGCAATAATTACACATCCTGTGTCCAATAATCCAGCATTTTAAGTCTTTGAAGATTTATTCCGTTTTCCATAGATTAGCCAGTTCTCATTCATGGTGCCTTGTTTCTCTGTGATTTTCATGCTTGTTAACTATGAGTGTTCATTGTCCTTAAAACTTTTTCTCTGAGGGTTCTTTGAAGACTGGGTTGAATTTGTGCCCTTTAGAGAGGACTTGTTTTCCTTCAGCAGATCACCTGGGTACATCATCAAGCAAAGACTAGCTTAAATGTAATTATTGAGGGTTTTAAAAACATATAGCTGTGATAGTATGGCCAGCATAAATTCAGGCTTAAGTTAATAAATTCACAGCAGAGACCTTTTTTTCCCCTTCCAACCAACACCAAGGTCAAGAAAAGCAGGTTTCTGTACATCCATTTTGAACTTGTTTTTGTTTTTTAAATATTGATCACTCAGTTGGAGCATAGGTAGCCTTTGGGTTTATAGCTTTATTCTGGTTTTCCCATTAGACTCTTCACCTTTTGTGGGTTCAGGCTTCTTCCCTTGTTTCTCATACTCTGTGCAGCTATCAGAGATGGATTTCAAGGAAGAAGGTTGTGTTAGAGACCCTTGGAACAAAAATGGGCTTTTAGTGCTCGCTTACCTTCCTGGATTACTGTTTTCAGGGATTTTTTTGTCCTCTGAGGATTCCTTACTAGTATACCAACTCAATCATGCATTTCAACACACACACAATTTATCACGCATTTTAGTTGTTTTTGTTATGAAGTTTTCCATACCGCTGTCAAGAAGCCTTTTTAAAAACTTTTAATTATGATATTCAATTCATCTTTCACGTCACCTTTGGCGCATAATCTTCAAGCTTATGTGTAAAGCTACCTAACATAGGTTTTATGAGCATATGTATTTTATTTATTTTTTTTTTTTAGATTTTTTATTTATTTATTTGAGAGAGAGAATGAGATAGAGAGAGAGAACACATGAGGGGGGGAGGGTCAGAGGGAGAAGCAGACCCCCTGCCGAGCAGGGAGCCCGATGCGGGACTCGATCCCGGGACTCCAGGATCATGACCTGAGCCGAAGGCAGTCGCTTAACCAACTGAGCCACCCAGGCGCCCGAGCATATGTATTTTAAGCCATATGCCAGTTAAGATAGAAAACTGGCGTGTGTGATAAATCCGTAAAGATCACTAAGGTTATGGTTACTCTTCTTAAGGGTAAAAATGTGAGAAAGCCATTTTGTTAGTTACTGACTTAATAAGTTCTGATAAGAAGGATCTCGGATGAGAACCGCATTTTCTGTCCCTTTTGTGCCAGTGTTTGCTCTACTGCTCACTGTCTACACCAGCATGAATGTTGGAGTTTTACTCACATCGTGTATGTAAATAACAAATGGTTTGGTTATTCCCATCCCATCCCATGATTTGGTAGGTTGACATAAAACAAAAATGATCAAACTTGCCATGTGTCAAGGATGTGGTTTTAGCAGAAGATAGTTTCAGAACTTTTGGATAACATAAATATTTATCACAGTCTGCTTTGGGTATGTTCATATGCATGTGCACAGTTTGTATTGGATTGACATTCCCTGATTATGCTATCAAGCAGTTAGCATTTGAAGAATCTTAACCTCATTTCGATGTGTATTTTATAACTTGGGCAAAAGCTACATGTGTACACATATGAGAAAGGAAATAGTACTGCAATTTCACTCTCAAATTATTCTAGAACTGGTGCGCTTATGCGTAAGAACTAACATGAAGTCGGTGCCCATGAGGCTTGCACTGGAAGGAAGAACATGGACTTCTGCCCAGACTGAAAGCCCAGTAGTTCTTGCATCTCACCAGTGACAGTAAATCCTTGATATCTCTGAGAAAAATATGCGTATATCGTCCCAGGCAAATGTGGGTCTGGTAGGTGTGCCAGCCTTGAGTCATCTCACAGACGGGATATTGTCTTTCCTACTTACACAACTTTCTCAGCATATGCCAATTATTATGCCAAAAATAAAAGCCAAGCAAGGAAAGCATTAGAACGGCAGAGCCATTCCAAGTGCAAAATTCCAATTATCAAAGCCCAACACAAGCCTTTTATTAAAAAATCCACTTTCATCTGGGCTGTAATTGGCACACTTTCTACAAAGTGACACTGGCAATTTAGTGTTGTGTTTCTATGTCATTTTTCTTTGGCTAATAGTAACAGAACATGATAGCAAGCGGAATGCTCTGTTCAGCAGAGACAGAGTGCTGGATGAGAGCTTGGACCTACCTCAGACCGGGGCTCCTCTGCCGTTTGGGGGTGCTGGTTTAGCTCTTGTTTCACAGAGGTTTCTGAAGACCAGCTTGTTTCATTGCCAGCTCATCAAAATGCATCTTAATGATTTTTCCAGCTACCAATGGTCGTATCTACCCTAAATTTTCTGCCAGGGGTGTCAGTCACATCAGACTGTGGCCCATAAAAGTAATCTGGTTTTCTGAGTTGATAACTGATGACAATAAGCGAAAGTGGTTTATGGAAATTTTACATTTTGTAGTATAGTGAGTTCCTCATATAGAATATATTTAGCTGTTCCTAATAACAGAAGAGAAGCTATAAAAATCTCCCAAAAATACTCAGTACTGAAGTTAGAACACTAGAACAGGGCATGATTCCCATTAGCACCCAGGTAAGTAGGCAAGAGCCTGACATATTCTTGGACTAGGATGGTTGTCGGAGGGAACTGGTTCAGATAGAACAGTAGAACTGTGGCTTCCAGGCCATATTTCCAGAAACAGTTCAGGTTCTTTCATCTGAAGAGCAGACTTTGATTAGTCCATGGCTGTTAAGTGTTTTCTTTCTAAATTCAGAGCTTTTGCAGATATTAAATCTATACCTGATGATGGAAAGGATGAGGAACATGGGTAGGACACTGGAATACATATCATGATCCTGCACAGGAACATTCTAAATATGCACTGTGTCCCTTCTCCTGCAACCCTAAAAAGTCATTGTTAATACCCCCATTTTACAGGAGAGGAGGCTCAGCTCCATAGAACCTGAATGACTTACCCTGGGTCACAGACATAGTGGAGGTTACTTACCTAAACTAAGTAGCCAGGGCTAGGATTTATACTTGGTTTCAGGTCTCTCAACCTCCCAATCAGTGTTCATTCGATGAATCTCTATTCGATGGAATTTCTGACAGTGAGAGCTAAGTAAATAACAAAATAATAATAGTAAATTCAGTACAACATTTGTCAGCAAAAGGGAGAACAAAAACAGAACAGAAAGTTGAGAAGGAAATCAAATCAGGGGATGAATTTTCTTAATTTGGAGGAGAAACTCATGCAAGGCACAAAGCCCAAGAGTCAGTTTCCCTAACCTATTTATACTTTGTATATGAGGGTATAACATATATTAATGGATGCCATCCGTACGCCAGACCCTGAGCTAGGCACTAGGAATATGACAGTTGGTATAAGAGATAGGCACCCACCCTCACCTTGTACGCTTCTAAACCAAGAAGAAGCACCAGTCTGAAACAGATGAGCACAGTACATGCAGGTGCTCCATGAGAGTCTGTTGCAGGCTGACCATAGTGACAGTACGGGGCTGGCTGGTCTGGAAAGATCCCTGAGGAAGCACAGAAGTAGGGACCATGCCAGGCAGATGGAAAAGCATGCATGTTGACTCTGTAACAAGCATTTGAGGAAGAAAACATTTAATTTTTTTAAAGATTTATTTATTTATTTATTAGAGATTGAGAGAGTGAGAGAGAGAGAGAGAGAGAGAAACAGCATGAGAGGGGAAAGGGTCAGAGGAAGAAGCAGGCTCTCCGCTGACCTGGGAGCCCGATGTGGGACTCAATCCCAGGACTCTGGGATCATGACCTGAGCCAAAGGCAGTCACTTAAACAACTGAGCCACCCAGCTGCCCCTGAGTAAAAGAATATTTATGAGTGTTCTGTGCACAGCAGAGAGAGCAACGTGGGGAATGGCAGGAGTGAGACTCTTGAGGTGGGAGAGCCCAAGCACGTCTGTCCTATGGAAGTTAAAAAATGCTGCATTTTGTCATAATCACCATGGAAAGCCATGGAAAGGGTTTCTGTGGCACAATGACAGTGTCCATTTTTATGATTCAGTTCAGAATGGGAACTGGATTAGAGGGGAGACCAGACGAGTGATGCCATGGGGCCCTTCAGGCAGGGGAGAAGGTGGGAAATGCCAGTGGCTCAGAGAAGGGCAGTAGCAGTGACGATGGAGGGCAGATTCAAGAGATGTTTGAAAGATAGACTTCGCAGACATGTAGATGGACTAAATATGGAGAGTGAAGGGTCATTTCAGAGACAGCTCCCACATTTCGCCTATTTCATAGTTTCTCTCCCTCCTATGTGTTGGAACCTTGCAAATAACCCCACATTTCTCAACTTTTTTCACAATCAGCCCAGTCAGGTGGGAAGGGCGGCCAGCCATCGGGAGATTTGGAGGGACAGGTGAGAGTTTGAGCATAGGAGTGAAAGGTGATTTGGAGCTTTCTAAACAATGAGTACAACATCATTTTCTTTTATTTTTTTTTTCTCCCTCGGAATCAAAATAGGAGAACTCACTGTGAAAGAACCCAAGTTTCTCGATTTTGAAATCAGACATGAAGTACGACTCATCATTTTAGCGGAAAGTAGGGGGCACAGAGCCTACAGCAAAGTAACAGTCTTGATACAAGATGTGAATGATAACTTACCATGCTTTGAGCAAAGCGTTTACCAAGTGTCAGTGTCTGAAGGCCTGTCCCACAATGCTCACATCATACAGGTAACAGAAATGTGTTTTGTGTATGTGTATGTGTGTGTATGGAAATTATCATCAGTATGCATCAAAATATCTAGAGCCTTTTTCTAGGACATAAATGTGTCTAGGGCATGTAAAAAGTTTGATGAACTGGATGAAACCTTAGTTCGAAGGAAGTCTGGAGTTTCTGAGTTCATGCTTCTTCCTCTCTTCATCGCGTGCTCCTAGTGCCCGCCTGCTTTCTCTAGGGACTCTGCCCGACATTAGCAGTGAATCCACAGGGGCACAAAACTCAACTCAGCTTATCATGTGTACAACTTAGAGGGGAAGTCAGAAAAGTAAGCATAAAATTTAAATGCATGTTAGTCATGTTAAATAGAAGTGCCCATTTAATGTCATGAGAGAAAAGAGGAGGGACAGACTCTTCCTGGAGGAAAAGGATAAGACTTCGCAGATGAATGGTATTTGCGCTTGGTCTTCAAGGGTGAGCAGGCACTCGGCCGGGGGAAGCACAGCTGGATGAGCATGGACGAAGGCACGGACCCATGGAAGAGCTCCCTGGGTGCGAAATTTGCAGACATTTCATGTGAAAGTCCCAGATCCACTGTTCCCGGGCCTCACCCCATCTCAGCAAGGAGGCCTACGCCATGAAAAAGAGGATCTGTTTTTAAGGCAGTCTCATGCAGGCTCTAAGACCCACTCACCCTTGATAGCCTCTCTGCCTGCTTCAGGAATCGGACCCAGTTCCATCTTTCCCTTCACAGTTGAATTGCTCTTCTGTCTTCAAGAACCTGGACATTGGGAAATGCACAACCTCTTGGGAATCTGCACAAGAAATCCATATAAAAACCCCTTCCTGGCAAAGTCAGGCTTTCCCTCTGACCTCTCTAATCCTGCTACTGTGATCCAGCCCGTAGTGATGATTACCCCCCTTCCTCTCTGGGTCGAGGGGGTCAGGGAGCCTGAGGACATGTTAGAACACCTTCTGGATGAGACCCCCCACAATGCTTTACTGTATGGCTACCTCCACCTGCGTCTGGAGAGACACCTTCCTTTGACCTTCAGTTCAGCTCCAGATGTACAGGTACCCCTCTGTTGGTGCTGACAAGACCAGTGGAGTCTTGGCCATCTTGGAGTCTTGGCTCTGTGCGTCCCACACAGTCCAGGATACCTAGGATTTCCTCCGCTGTTTTTGCAGACTTGTGTTATATGAAAGTGCCCTGTTCCATTTGCCAGCCTGTTCCAGAAATGCTTTGGTTTCAGCCACGACTGAGAAGAAGGGGAGGGCATTCACTTGCCCCATCTGTATCACTCTGTGCAGTGATACATGTTCAGGGGGGATGACAGAGACCTTCAGAGCCACTGTGGGGCCTGCTCTGTCACAGAGGACCCCTGCACTGGGGTGCTACCACACTGCACCTCTTCATCGTTCATGCTCACCTGGATAGAGCTAGACTGCTCCATGTGGAACACAAGAAGGGAAGATACCTTTAAAGCCCAGGTACAACAAATGGGAAAGAGCCTGGCCCACCAGTGTGTCAAATTAGGTCAAACTTCAAGAAGGCTGAGTCAGGGACAGATACAAGGACCTTCATTCTTCACATTTTTAGATCATTTAATTTGTTCCAGGAAACCAGAACTGCCATTTTGCTGTGTCCTGTTCAGATAAACAGGAATGTCGAAGGCTCTGGAGGTCTAGCGCTTGTGGTAGTTCTTTCTTTTGCCATCACACTGCCCATGGTCCCTGCTTTTGGTTACAGCCCCGCCAACTTCTTTTAGGAACTGCCCATCCTCTGTCAGCTGCAGTCTTGCTGAGATTGTCAGTCAAGGTAGTGACGTGTCCTCCATCCCCTGCCCAAGGCGTTGTCATCTGCCTCAGTCTCATGTAGGCTTTCTCTCCCTCGGATCTGAAACTTGAGTGGTAAGACACCAGCACAGAGGCACATTAGAGCTGATTCATCTTGGTGGCAACAACTCAAAAGAAACTGTGCCCCTGGGGGTCCCAGGTCCTTGGCCTTCACCCAGACACTATCTTTCTGATACATTTTTCCTGGTTAAGTTTTCCATAGTGGATATGTGCTGCTGGCATCCTAAAACCCTAACAGACACACCTCCTGGGAGACCTACTCTTGGTAACACTTGGAAACATATGGACCCGGAGGATATGAAGGGTTTTATTCTGCCCAGATGCACATGAGTTTCTTTTCCTGATGACCTCCAAGGAACTATGCATTGCTGCCTTTCTTTACTAAGTAGCTGGCTTGTGTGTCCTCCTGATGAGGTCCTCAATGTCCCACGTGGGCGACTCAGGATCCCCTGAGATCTGATGACAGTGTGAAGGATAGATGAGAGCGGAGGGAGTTCGAGGCCAACACCCGTCAGGACATCAGTGCGGTCACCCAGGAGAGAGATGATGGGAACGTGAGGTCAGGCCAAGGCTGAGGGGCACAGAGAATAAAAATAAGTAGAAAAAAATACAAAAACAATGAATCGTGGATCACCACATCAAAAACTAATGATGTATTTTATGGTGACTAACATAACATAATAAAATAAAATTTTTAAAAAAGGAAGAAAAAATTTTAATTAATCCATCAACTTATTCTTAAGCAAGATCTTGAAACCACTAATAGAATTAATTTTTTATTAAAATGTAATATAGACTAAATAATACATCTCCATGGAGAATTATGCAAGACTTTTGTCTCACCCTCAACACTACTTAGATAATTTACCAAATAAATGATCAGGATCTAATGTGTTTTAACACACTAAATCTAGGCTATTTCATTAATTAAAAATCCTTCTAAAATGAGACTTTCAATAAGATATATAAAAAAATCCACATATGGTCAATTTTACAGGCAATACTTTAAGCAGGAAATACAACAAATTAAAGACTACCATTTACTATTCAGAGATTTCTTTCCTTCTCTGGTACTGGTATGAACCTAAATATAGTTGGATCTTCTATTCAAGCAAATTAGAATTTTTTTCAAGTTCAGTGCCTCACTTTATTTTACTTTACTTTATTGCACTTTACAGAGATTTTTTGTTGTTGATGTTTTTTGTTTTACAATCTGAATCTGATTCCTGCAGTAGTCACACATTTTCATTATTATTATATTTATTATGGTGATGGTGATCAGTGGTTTCTTGAGATGGACTCTAGACCTGGTGAAGATGCTGTGAAATTGTTGAAATGACCGCAAAGGATTCAGAATATTCCATAAACTTAGTTGATAAAGCAGCAGCAGGGTGCGAGAGGACTGGCTTCAATTTTGAAAGAAGTTCTGCTGTGGGTAAAATGATACCCAACAGCATCACAAGCTACAGAGAAATCGTTCGTGAAAGGAACAGTCAATCAATGTGGCCAACTTCATTGTTGTCTTATTTTAAAAAATTGCCCCAGCCGCCCCAGCCTTCATCAGCCACCACCCTGGTCAGTCAGGAGCCATCAACATCAAGGCAAGACTCTCTACCAGCAAAAAAATCATGACTCGCTGAAAGTCAGATGATGGTTAGCAATTTTTAGCAATCAAGCATTTTTAAATTAAGGTATGTACATTGTTTTTTTTAGATATAATGTTATGCTGTTGCACACTTAATAAACTATAACATATGCACCGGGAAACAAAAAAAATTCATTTGACTTGCTCTATTACAATATTTGTTTGATTTGGATGGTCTGGAACTGAGCCCGCAATATCTCTGAGGTATCCCTGTATTTTTGCCTCTTGCCTAAAATTGTAGTTCAAAACATGGGCTACGCCTACTGAAAGTTATTTGGAAGTCCTTTGAACAAGCCTGCAGAACACTTTGCCCACCCATTACCTACTATATTATAAATGTAAGTCCTTTGATCATTGTTTTTAAAGTGCATTTGGCAATCCGTAATTCTTTCATCGTGCATTTGTCTGAAAAACAGTCTTAACCCATCTTGCAGATGAAATCCTTATCTAACGGAAGAGCTGCTTCCTCACAGGTTTTTGCTGCGGACCTCGACAGTGGGATGAATGGCCTCACTGAGTACTCCATTCTCTCTGGCAACCAAGGGGAAGCATTCCACATTGATGCGCGGAGTGGTGTGATCACAGCAAACGCGGTTTTAGATTACGAGCTCACCAGCTCCTACAGGTCTGTCCCAGATTCAGATCCGTTTGCTCAAGTATTCTGCTCGTTTCTGACAAAATTGTTGCTTTGGCCATGACTTCCTGTTATGTGAGCTTCGTTGTAAAATGTGTTGCGCTTTGATCCAACCTATGATCACTCTTTTGATACGCTGAACGAGTCTTAGAAAGTATTTGCTCTTTGGAAAACGTGATTACACTACAACTTTAGGGTCCCTTGCAATTCTTAGCTTTTATGAATTTTTAATGCTATTAAGTACTAAATGAGAGACATTAAAAATGACAGTATTGGGCGCCTGGGTGGCTCAGTCATTAAGCGTCTGCCTTCGGCTCAGGTCATGATCCCAGGGTCCTGGGATCGAGCCCCGCATCGGGCTCCCTGCTCCGCGGGAAGCCTGCTTCTCCCTCTCCCAGCACCCCTGCTTGTGTTCCCTCTCTCGCTGTGTCTCTCTCTGTCAAATAAATAAATAAAATCTTTAAAAAATAAAAAATAAATAAATAAATAAATAAAAATGACAGTATTTGTGAAATGATTACTGACTGATAGAGCACTCTGCAACTGTTTTTGGTTCTTGTTTTTAAAAATAGTGAAGACTGAGTGACACCTCTCTTTTTAATTCTTTACTCAGTTTCATGGACGAAAGTACAACCCTGTCATCAGGTCCTTGTTGCAGTACTGTGTTCTAATAGAAATGATCTGATGAAGTACATGTTCAACATGAAATATATTTTGTCTAGAGTTTAAGGTGTACAGAACTATGCAGGATTCTATAAAAGAGAGAATAGCAGTGTTGCAGGTCTTCTGGTTATTTTAAAAAGTCAGGGCTACAAAAGTCTAGCTATACATACAGATATATTTATGGCATCACGGTCTATAAAAGAAAAAGGAAAAGACTCTAAGGAACCAAAAATGTCCGGGAGTGGAGATTGCCTCAAACATTGGTAGCCTAGCCTTCCATGGAATTCTACCCTTTGACAAGAGAAGGTGGTTTCTCTGTGAGTGCCACTGAAGAGAGAGCCCTAGCTATATGGGTAAGTGGGGGAAATAACAAAGGTTTATTCTATAGGCCTATTGGAGTCAAGGCGCACCCATATATCGGGACACCTTCAGGAAGAAAACCTAAGAAACTTAACCTTGTCTATCTCTGGAGAAGCGGTCATGGGGGAAACTGGGGTCAGAGGCTTGGCTTTCTCAGTATGCATTTTAGTATATTCGTGTCATATTTTCGTATGTTCTTCCAAAAGGCCTTGCACATACAGTGCTTCCTTTAATCCTTCCGGGCGCCCCCCAAGGAAGCCGAGTTAGGTGTTCTCTCATCCACTCTGAAACCAACACACGGTGGCTTGCGGGGCCACGGAGCCAGTCAGTGATCCAGCAGAGGCTCAGGCCCAAGTATTCTGATGTTGACTCACCCTGTTTCCACTGTGCAAGCTACAGAGCCCATCTTCTACATGGGGAAGAAGCAGGCAGATGAGAGACCTGCGTGCAGGTGTTCTTTTAGGCCAGACTGCTTTCACGTTTAATGAGGAAAGGGCAGTAGATGCATGTGGCTGAGCGGCAAGAGCCGATTACAATGGATCTGTTATTAATTAACTGGACTGGATTAATTGACCTCTGAAAATCTTTCCGGCTCTAAAATGTTGATTGTTTCATTCTTTTTTGTTTAATATATTTCAAAATATTACTTCAAGAGCATTTTAAAAGTTTAAGACCTTACCCTGTATTAACGAGTAGGATTTTTTTTCAGTAATATTTTAATGTAATTAATTGTTATGATGCTTATTGTATAAACATATTAAAACCGGCTGTCTAAATATGTTAAAACCCATTGCGGCTACATGGTTTCTACAGACATCTTAAGCATAAAGCCATTTTTCTCTCTCTGTAGATGACTACAGGTCGGTCTCAGCCTAGTGGCACCTGAGTGATTACAAATTCAGAGATTATCGAAGGTCTGCTGTGTTCCAGGAACTAAGCACTTCCGGGTTGGAATGACTTTCTGTCCTACTGTTCTTACTCAATGGAGCCTAATTAGTAATTAAACCGGACTCCTTTAAGCTTTTTCCTATTTGCGTCATTGTTTCAATGTTCCGAACATCTCAATTGGTCCCAATATTGAAAAGTGCCCCTCTCCAATTCCCCATGAAGAAGAAAAGCAGGAGTGGAGAGAATTTTAACTAAACACACACGGCCACAGAGAGAGACAGAGACAACCACACACACACATACACACACACACACACTCACAGTCTCCACTATCACCAAGGCGAGGAAATATTTTAAACCTCCCGCCTATTCAGGTTCTCCCCTTCCTCTTCTCCCTTGTGGCTTCTCTTCTTCTTTAGGGCTTTCCCTGATATTTCAAGGAGCGGGAAATTCAGGATGCTTGTCCCCTAGCCTGCTACATCCTTAGTGGATGCTTTGGAAATGGTATTGTTCTGCTTTTAACTTTACTTTTGAAGTTGCTATTTTGTCCAATTGAAGAAAATATTCCCAATTATAACCCTCTGTTTTACAACATAAAATGAGGGAGGAAAAGATATTCTCAGTTCTGATTATGGTCCTATACTATAAATAAAAATTAAGTAATCTTTAGGCCTCATTTTAAGGCCACATGTAAGAAAACTCAGTGGAGAGGTGATGACCAACTCTAAAATAGACCTTAAGTTCTATCTGACTGGCATTTCTGAATTGTAAAAACTATTTACTAAGCGTGAGGCTGGGGATGTAAAGACACATGCAAGTGTTCTTGTTTTTAGGGAACTCAAAAATCAAGCGCCATTATAACCCATGGCAGGCGGCATATTAATAATCACAATAGTTGCCATTTATAGAGCTGCTTTATATGTCGAATTCTCATAACAGATTAAGATTTACAGAGAGAGGAAATTAAAGTTCAGAGAATACAGTTGTTTGCCAAGAATACACAGCTAGTAAATGGTAGAACTGATGGGATTCTTGCCCACGTGAGAGGTCCTAGTAGGGCTTTCTATTGTATCATGCGAATGCATCTGCAAAGTGCATACCTGTCTTTACAAAACATGAAACAGGGAAGAAAAACTTCAGGTAAATAAGAATTAATTTAAAGGTTTAAATATTCAATTTCTGTAACATAAATATTCAAGTTCGAAGAGCAGTTACTGCCAAGAGCAACGCTAAACTCATACTCTCCACTGAGAGCTCATTATGACCATGAGAGAAATACTGAGAAACAAGTATTGTTTACAAGGTAGGAAGTTGGCTGAGATGTTCATTATCTTTTCCAAAATACGTGACTCATAAATAGTAGAGCTGGGATTGCAACCCCATTCTGTTGACTCTCCATGAAAAGAATAAAAGACTTTCAGGCCAAAAGCAGGAAAGTCATGGATATGCACAAGTGTTTATAAGGTATGTTTGGAAGTAACAAGTGGTCCAGTGCACCTGAGAAGCACCTGCGTGTGGGGTAATGAAAAAGAGGTTGGGATGTGAAGGAATAGGAGGAATGTGGCCAGAAGTACAAAGTTTCAGTTACAAGATAAATACTGGGGATGTGATCTACAACACGATGACATCGTTAACACTGCTGTGTGGTATAGTTGAGAGTTGATAAGAGAGAAGTTTTAAGGGGTGCCTGGGTGGCTCAGTCAGTTAGGCATCTGCCTTCGGCTCAGGTCATGATCCCAGGGTCCTGGGATCTAACCCCACATCGGGTTCCCTGCTCAGTGAGAAGCCTGCTTCTCCCTCTCGCTCTGCCCTCCCTGCTCATGCTCTCTCTCTCTTCCTCAAATAAATAAATAAAATCTTTTAAAAAGAGTAGTTTCAAGAGATTTTATCACAAGAAAAAAATCATTTCTCTTTTTTTGTATCTGTATGAAATGATGGATATCAAATCATTATGTTATACACCTTAAATTTACACAGTGGTGTACGTCAATTATACCTTAGTAAAATTAGAAACAAACTTACAATGATCTGAAAAACAAAACAAAATTTAAAAAAAAGGCTGGTAGATCTCAGGCAAGTTTTGAGGGACTTCATATCCCATATAATGGAAATTGTGCTTGATTCAGTAGGGCATATAAAAGTCTAAGCAAGTCAGTGCATGGTCAGATCTTTATTTTTAAAAGACATCTGGTTACAGATACATTGCAAGACAGAGGACCAGCATCAGACAGATTAGTTAAGCTAGACAATGGCTGTGAAAGATCTGCTAATGAGGATAAAGCAGTGGGGATGGTAGGAGGGAACATACTTACTAATTGATTCAGGTATGGAATCCATAGGAACATGGTCAACAGTTGAATTTCTTCAACAAGGAAAGAGATAGAAATTGATTCTGAAATTTCTTCATAGGAAAAGCAGGAATTGGAATTGGTGTTGGAATGGGGATTGGGATTGGGATTTTTTCTGGGCATTTTGAGTTTCAAGGGCTAGTGCAAGAACAAAAGTTCAGACATTCCTTAGGCGATTAAAATACTGATCTGGAGCCTGGGAAAGAGGTCTTCATCCAAGATTTAGATTTCAGATTCATCCAGGGAAAATATGTAAAATGGAATTACCTAGGGAAAGTCCACAAGATGAGAATTTGGGGGATTATCACTACTTGAGGATCAGGCAGACAAATAGAAGCCAGCAGAATAGATTCAGGGAAGAAAAGGAACAGAATCTGGAAAAGATGGTCATGGAAACCACAGGGAGAGGTTGGACTCCATAAAAGAAAAGGGTTTCACAATGTGTTTGGATTAGAATCCACTAGAAGTGTTCCTTATTTTAAGGAGTTTAAGGAGATTTTATATACATATTTCTTATTTCCACAAGCTCTTTCTTGATCTTTCTGCTTTTCCATAGCATCTTGTTCTTGTTTCATGCCTGCATTGCCTTCTGATAGCTCCCCAAAGACATTAATTAGAACTGTTTTTTCAAGATCTCTGTTTCTTTCAGGTTTATTTCTTCTCCTCATCTGTTCTACACTCTTTTTCATGTTGGAGACTTTCTGTAAGTAACTAACCATCCTCGCTTCTGAGTAAGGCAAGAGCAAAGTCCTCAGAATCTCTGAGTGGACTGGCAGAGCTTATCAACCAGCACACTTCGCTTTCAGATGAACCAGAGAGGAAGTTGACTACTTTGCAGGATGACATACAAATGACAATATTTCTCCAGGGGCAGACCCTCAATATTATTTACTCTGAAGATGAAAATCAGACATTCTTTTGCCTGGGAGTGAAGAGCAATGGGCAAGGGGACTTGATTATTCTGTGTTTTGAGTTTAAAATAATCATCAAGCTATTTTTACCTCAATATCTCACCCCACCCCTTGTCGTGTCTTGTGTCTGTCATTGGTTATGTGGGGGCAAATCTGTTCCCCACTCATCCTTATCTCCCTCCAGATATATTTCAATCTGTGGTTTCCTGTTAACCACTTATCTGTAGCCACTCCCAAATCTGCATGCATTTTCCAGAAATTTGTTGGAACTTCTCACCACCTCTACCCACCAAAATCTTCTCCGCTTTACTGTTAGCCTTATGGACATATACCTTATTTTAAATTCTTTTGCTATCATTATCATAGAATCTCAGGAGGAAGAAGAGATAAAACTTGTGTAGTTAAACCAGATGTCATAGCTCTTCTCTTCATTGGTGTTTCTGATGTTGGCTGATATGTTTGTTTTACTTAAAATTTCAGAAAGAACATGGAATTCTGGGTAGACATTTAAGATACTGTGGAGAGGGAGTTTTGAAAAATTCCCTTCCACCTTCAGTATTTGTTAAAGCAATCAGAAAGGATACTGCCTGGTCAAGGTCCCATCTAAAACTTAAGGTGATAAAAGAAGCTTCCTGTGGTTGGTAGAATAGGAGAAATATGCTCTGTGTTAGAACGGACCGGTTCTAAATCTGGTCAGTTTCATTTATAATCTCTGCTGATGTAATAATCAGGGCAGCCGTTCTGAAACCTGGAGCCAGTTGGACTGGTTACAACCAATAGTTTTACAAAGACTGCCAAGGAGCCATCATAGAAAACTTGAGGTCTCACAGAAGTTATGTGTAGAATCTTGGTGGATCTGCCTTCATAATTTTCCATCTGTTCTTCAAGCTATTGAGGAACTGTTTACTCGTCTTTTTATTTTGAAACTGAATTGTACATTTTACTCCGTATCAAAGATTCTCATGTTTTTTAAGTTGACTTAGACATTATATGGAACCCCTGACACTGTAACGTTGTAAAAATCAGGGCGGTTGCAGGTATAGCCGAAGAATTGAAAGAGCCATAAATTTGATGTCTTGACTGAGCTTTTAGTGTGACACTGGGGAAGGGCAGGCCACAGAGGCAGAGAACATTATGATTTGTTTATTTTTAGTAAAATATTTCCATATGTACCTGACTTATGTTCATGCTAACAAAACAAACTTTCCACATGGAATGAGTCTTAAGCTCCAGAAGTGTGAAATTCAAGTAGTTGTTTTACTGATGTCCCAGCTCTGATAGCATAGAAGGCAGCCTGTGTGCTCCATGAACAGTAGATAAACAGGGATTATTTGCTATAAAGTGGGATTTGAGCCAAGAAAGAGTTGATGCTTATTTTACATCATTTTAAAATGTAAGATTGGAAAGATAGACCACTCATCAGGTAAGCTAAGGAAAAAGAAAGTGGAAATGTGTCAACTTCCAAGACTCAGTTTCTTAAAAGGTAGTATCAACCACATGCCAAGACTAACACCAATTTTGAGGTAAAGATTATCTTCTGATGGGCAACTTGCATCATTCCTCAACTACCCTCTTGGAATTCGTAGTGTTTAGAGCAGAGCGAAAAGCTAATGGTTATACATTAGGGCATGATAGATGCACAATAATACATATCCTTGTTGAAAATATATAGTGGAGCTCAGACAGTAGACACAGGCTTTCCAGTTAGCCAACACCTGGGCTTGAATCCTGGCTCTGTCATACAGTACATTCATAATCTTAGACAAATCTTGAGAAACCAGCCCTCAACATACATTTTTTTAAAAATCAACTAAGATACAGAGCTCACCTGCTCTCAATAAACAGGAGAGGCAGATAATCAGTCAGTAAGAACAAAGGGTGATGACTGCTGTGTCAGAAGAATGTACAGGGTGCTGTGGGATTGAGAAAGGGGCATCCGAATCAGACCGGAAGTCAGGGAGAGCTTCCCAGAGATGTGAGCCTTGGAAGATCAAGAGGGTAGTATAGGGACAGTAATTCCAGGCAGAAGCCAAGACATTGGAGGTCATGTGTATGTACTTAAGGCCTGGACTACCTCTTGTAGACATGAAGAGCCAAGGAAAAGTTTTCAATAGGGAAGTCAGGTTTTCAATTCAGGATGTTGGATGGAGCAGTTGAGTGGCAGTGTGGGGGATCGACAGGGGCAGATGAGACTTGCAGTAGGGAGATTGGTGGACAAACAAGTACTCCAGATGGGAAAGGCTACAATGAAGATGGAACATTCCAGGTCAAGATGATGAGGGGATGAGGCTACAGAGACCAGCTTGTCCTGGTTTGCTGGGGACTGTCCTGGTTTTTTTAAAAAACAAAAACAAAAACCCGGAAGTCCCATGTCCCAGGAAACCCTTCAGTCCCGGGCAAAGCAAGAAGGCTGGTCAGCCTACCTGAGGCTCTGAAGGCAGGACTGAAACGGTTGGGAACACTGATCCAAGTGATATTGGGAAGGTAAAATCTGTAAGACTCACAATGAGTTGGGTTTTGGAAGATTGGTGACAGAAATGGAGAAGTTGAAGGCACTAAGAAGGTTTTGAATTTAGTTGCTGGAGATAAGTTGTACCATCATCTAAGAGAGATGAAATCACTGCATATAAATTCTTTCGGATCATAGACTTTCCCCCCTACTCTGTAGTTCTAGCCAATCATGCATTTTTGTACCTGTATTAATCATGCAGCATCCTCTCTTAATTCTACAGTTGCTATTGATTTTGAATCTGGATTTAAAAAAATATCAGTACAAAGCAATCTCTTAGTGGCTCTATCTTTGTGGTACAGTAAAATGGAAATATGTAGTAATATCCAGGCCATGCATGGTAGGGTGGAGGGTGTCTACTTACCCAAAGAACATGTATTGATGTTTGTACTTTTTAGGTTGTCCTTGGTAGGAAAGGACTGAATTCTACAGTCTGTCTCCAGAAAAGGCTCATTTGTAAATGCCACGTGATCCCTGGTCGCTTGCTGGATTTGATGCTCTAAACCAGTCAAAAATAAATAAATTCCAGGCTACCGTTCTTTTTTTTTTTTTTAAGATTTTATTTATTTATTTGAGAGAGAGAGCACACACAAGCCAGGGGTGAGGAGCAGAGGGAGAAGCAGACTCCCTGTTGAGCAGGGAGTTCAACACAGGGCTCGATCCCAGGACCCTGGGATCATGACCTGAGCCGAAGGCAGCCGCTTAACTGACTGAGCCACCCAGGCACCCCCAGGCTACCATTCTGATGAAATAAATTTTTAAATGAGGCTGTTTAGAAAAAGCTAGGGGGAAAATAAAAGTAGCTAGTCAGCTCATTTTTTAAGTTTTCGATGGGATATTTGATAGTTATGTTGTTTTTCTAGTTCTCTGGATAATGGATTACATTTCTTGATTCTTTTCCAAACCAGCTTGATTGTGCAAGCCACAGATAAAGGGATGCCCAGGCTTTCTGGTACAAGTGTCATCAAGATACAGGTGACTGATATAAATGACAATGCCCCGGCTTTTCTCCCTTCTGAAGCAGTGGAAATTGCAGAAAGTAAGTGTGCCGATTTGGAATCATGGTTTTCACTTGTGTAATATCATCTACCAGCCAGGCATTCTAATCAGTATGAGTGCTAATCCTCAGGAACCGTGCAACGTGGACAGCTTCTGTCTTCATTTTACAGAATAGAAAATGGATGGCCTGAAGTTAAATATCAAATGTCAAAGACTTTAGATGTTGAGGCTGGGATTTGCCTTTAAGTCCCCAGGCTCAACCTGCCATTCCACACAGCTGCTTTTGTGCGTGTCCATATTTCTCAAAACCAAAATCTACTCCATGAAGAAGCACACTTTGTTGACTATGATGGTCATTCTCGAGCTCCTCTGAGAAGAAGCAATGTCCTTAGACTGAAATTTTGTCAGGCTTTGCAGTATACAAATGGCAAGTGATAAGTGATGGGATGCTCATTGCACAGAGTCATCACTTTCCTTTAGTGCAAACTCACCGTCAGCATTGCAAGAAAAATTTTACCCACAATAATGGTAGAGGTAGAAAATACAAAATTTTACATGATATGCTAATTAATCCCAATTGTTTGGGTCCCTGGGTTCTATGACTCCATAGTCTGCAATCTCAAAGTTTGTCCACGGTCAGCAGCTGGACTGGTAAATCCAACCCAACTCTATCATTGAAATTGCAAAAAGTGCTGGCCCCTCTCTTGCCTCTCTCCTTTCACTCTTAGTATCCACCTGACTCCTAAGATGTTACTAACATTTTAGGATGTTCAGTTTCCAAACAAATTACCACTCACAGAGGGATATATCTGTAGATGTATAGGGATACCTACAAACACTCTAAAATATTCTACAAAGAAAAAATTCTCCAGTTCTGCCTCTCACCTATTTGATATACTTCCATTTGTTTTTACTGAAGGTACTATTCTGAAGCATGTTCATTAGCATCAAAATGCAGCAATGTGCCCATGATAAACACGTCACCAGAACAAATGGCAAAAATCAAAGCATATACTGAATAGGGTAAGGAGTGGTTGATGCACACCCAGAATGTTCAAGCCTGAAATACGAAAATTACATGAGTCTCATATATAGGGGAACTATTCTGAGTATCTTGGCATCTTCTTTCTACCTGTACCGTACTTGTAAGCATAAAAACGAGGTCCCTTTTATGAAGTTTAGACTAAAGAACAGATGCAGTGTCATTTAAATTTTGCTTACGTTTCAAAATCGTATGCTTTGTATTACTGTTTTGAGTAAGAACTTTCTTCCCACCCGTATCACCCATGAATATATGATTTTAATACAGAAACTACGTAAGACAAATATGTGGCTGAGAATGTTTCTTGGTCCCGGAATTGTGTTGCACGCATATGATAAAAAAATGCCATATAAAAATCGAATTTACTCTACCTCCTCAATTCCCTACTCAGCGGTAAATTTTCACTTTATTGGGCTCATAAATTCTTCAGAGTTTTTGTTCGGCTCGTAATGAGCTTTGTATGGGAAATCATGCCAAGAAACAGCAAATCATGTTGGACTTAAAGTTAAAATGTTTGGATTGAACTATCAAAGAAAAGTATTTCAAAGGATGAATTTTAATGGAGGCTGACATTGTTCATGACTATTGCAGATTCTTCGCCTGGTATAGTTGTGACTCAGATATCAGTTCATGATGTGGATTTGAATCCAGCTTTCATCTTCAATTTCGCCAAAGAGAGTAATCCTGGAATCAAGTTTGCTATTGATCAGAATACTGGAGCAGTGGTGCTCGTGAAAACACTGGATTTTGAAGAAGCTACCGAATATGAGCTGTTCATCCAAATTTCGGATACTGTGCATGAAACAGAGGGAACGCTCATTGTCTGTGTGGTGGATGTCAATGATAACCCACCTGTATTTTCTCAAGATTCTTACCAGGTAAATAATGTAAGGAGATGCTGAAAACAGAGCCAAAGTGGAAAAGAAAAGGGAATGATGTAAGCTTACCAGTGTTGACAAACTGATTTAGGCAGACAGTATCCACAGGTTTTAGTGCCTTAGTTGATCCTGAGGGTTGTATATTCAATATCCTGGAAGCTATGGTATGTACACATGGAATTAAGGAGCTCATCCAACTGTTTCTTACGGATGTATAGCATCCTTTTTTTCTTTTTTTAGTTTGTAGGGATTGGAGTCCGGTTGTTCATAACAATCAGAACGGGCCTAGTATTTGCGGAGGTACCAAACAATACGGTGGTTTGGATTATCGGCACTTAATTTGGGAAAACTCTTTCTTTCCTAGGGATATTTTTGGAATACACTGATGAACATTTTGCAGAAACAAGTCATGAACAAAACTGTGAAGTGGAAATTTTATTTTTTTAGAGCTTAGTGTATGTTTATAGAAGTAAGGACAGTAATAGCATTCAACTAAGCACTTGGAAATGGGCTTCAGGACTTCTGAATATAGCAAATGCATGGTTTAAACATAAACACAGAAGGGAAGCTAACCTAAATAATGATCTTCTGTATGTAATACTACAGTAGTGGTTTTATTAACTATCCTCTACCAAGCAGAAATCATTTAGAAGGACTTCTTTTTTTCATAAGAAGCAATCAAAACTAAATGAAATTTTTAAATTTTGTTTTTCTGAATTCTGGGACTACAAAATAATGTTCTTAATATATTAACTCTATAGATTACTATGTGTGTTTTCCATAAGCAAAATGGATGCAATGATTTTACTTTCTGGCCCTGTTCATGAAAATATCTCCAGCCTGTAAGTACAAGGCTCATTTCTCTCTTTTTCCTTCAGGTCACTGTTCCTGAATCGGTGCCTGTGGGGTACTCAGTGCTGACCGTGGCAGCCACGGACCTAGAAAGCAATGAGAACATTTCTTACAGAATCCTTTCCTCTTCTAAGGAATTTTCAATCGATCCAATGAATGGTGAGTTATTTATTGTGGCTTTAGCGTTCATAGGTTTGAGTTACAGTGTAGAAGCCTGAAATAATCTTTTCCAAATGCTCCTAAAATGTTTCCACCTCACCCCCCTGGTATTATAGATGCCACCCTTCTTATTTCTCTTCACATCAAATGTTGTGGTAGCAAATCCTGGTGTTATTTCTCTTCTCCAACATCTCAATGGCTGGAAAGCAAAAGGAATTGATTACATGCTGGCAAATGTGCAGAACTTCAGAGACCCCAATGTAGTAAACACCCAGCTCATCAGTCCAACCAAGGACAATTTAAGTAATTATCCCAGGCCTCAACAAGCATTAAAATGAAAGCGAAGGGATCCATTTAGTACTGAGGACTTCGTGTTATGAGAGTGTGGAAGCTTTTCTTCCACGCCAAGTACATTAAGTTCAGTAATAGCATAATACATTCAATAAGGACAAAAAACTGAACAAGGAAAATTATTCGAGCATCTCTACTGAGAACAATCATTGTGGTATTCCAGTTTATTTGATGCCTTCCAAAGCTCTTTATATTTTTATCAGACAGCAAGTCATTTGTGGTCATGAAATGCGTTCAGGCAAGTGATTTCAGATTAAAACAGTTAAGAATTGTATAGAGAAAGCATAACAATGCGTAGATAGTAAAAGTTAAATTTGATATGATATTATGATTAGCAAAGCACTGTCCCTAGCAGATCACACTCTGGAAAAGAACAGGGCCTGGGACGTGTTACACCATGTGTTCCCCATTTCTACATGCCATTGCATTATTTCATTAGCGAGAGCTGATTTAAAAATGAACCTCAGGATGACAGATGGTAAGTAGGCTTACTGTGGGGATCACTTTGCAATATATACAGATATCAAGTCATTAGATTGTACACCTGAAACCAACACAATGTTATATACTAATTATATCTCAATAATAAAAAAAAAAAAAATTAACCTCAGGATTGCCCCAAGGAAGAATTTAATCACAAAATACTGGTATGAGGCCCATGGTGTGTTACAAAAGGGAGAAGTAGGTCATGTTGCCACATAGCCTGTGGGTGAATGCTACTGTATGGATATAAACATGTCAGAAGTTTGGCTCTCTGGGGGGGGCCGGGGGTTGGAGATGCACAGTGCTCAGATGATATCAACTGCTGTCCTGGCCACAGCACATCACAGTGTGTGAGGTGGTCCCTCTGAGCCCCTAATCCTAGCAACACTTTGCTTGACATGCGTTATCAACGAGCTTTGCAATGAGATATTGATTAGAATGTTTTTAAGACATTAAATAGGGGTACCTGGATGGTGCAGTCAGTTAAGAGTCCAACTCTTGATTTCAGCTCAGGTCACAGTCTCAGGGTCGTGAGATCGAGCCCACATTGGGCTCTCTGCTCAGTGTGGAGTCTGCTTGAGATTCTCTCCCCTTCTGCCCCTCCCCCCTCCCTTTCTCCCTCTCTCTCTGAAAATAAATCTTTAAAAAACATTAAATGCTATCAGATCAATTTAGTTCATGGTGAGACTCTAATTACATATTTCTATATTAAAAATAATAAAATGTATTAAATGTATTTCATTTAAGGGAAATCCACGTGCTGAATTAATAAAGAGCTTTAGGAAAAACACCTCCATAAATTATCAATAGTTGTAACTCGGCATTATTATATATACTACCTTCATTTGACTAGAGTGAATGTCAACCAGTATTTCCAGAATCAATATCTTTATACTAGAATGTCTCTATACATGTGTCTATGGATAGTAGAATGGGATACAGATTTTTCAAATAAGAATACATTTTCTTAAAAAAAAAGATAATGGGGCAGCTTATTATACAAAAATAAAGTTAAGAGACATTTTGGCAAAGTCATCTTCAAGTGGTTCATATATTTACTAGAGTGAATGCCAGGAGTATTACTTCTGGATCTTAAGTGTTACAAAAGCATAAATATAAAAAATCTGAAATTTCTATTTGGATTTACTCTTGGTTGTAACTTAAATAACAAATCTAGCAAATAACTAAACCTATTAGTAAATGTTTGCTGACAACTGGATCCTGAAAATTTAATTTCACAGCATTAAAATGCTGTGTCTTGTTTTTCAGGCACAATATTTACTATCAATCCTGTATTACTGCTGGACAAAAAATCAACAGTTCAGTTTCTTGTTGAAGCCAGTGATGGTGGAATTCCTGACCTGAGGGCTCTCACCTTAGTAGAGATAGAAATACAAGATATGAACAATTATGCTCCTGAGTTTGCGATAGAATATTATAATCTCAGCTTGAGGGAAGATGCTCAAATTGGAGGCACGCTTGTCACATTTTCAACCATTGACCATGACTGGACCCGTGAAAACACACATGTTGATTATTCCATCATCAGTGGTAATTCACAGAACAATTTCCATGTGGAAACTAGTTTCATTCATTCAGAATATCCTTATAAGCAAGTTGGTTACCTGGTGTTGCTTCACAGTCTGGATAGAGAAGCAGCTAACGGTCACAAGCTTGTCATTCTGGCATCTGACCACGGCTTCCCTCCATTGAGCTCCACAGCCACTGTAGCAATAGAAGTACTGGATGTCAATGATAATCCTCCTAAATTCAACAGTCTGAAATATCACGCCCACGTCAAGGAAAGTACCCCTCTGGGGAGTCACATCACTGTGGTCTCTGCACATGACCGTGATGTGGGTTCACATGCAGAAATCATCTACCACATCGTCTCTGGAAATGAAGAGGGGCATTTTCACTTGGAAGAAAAAACTGGAGTTCTTTATTTGATTAAACTTCTGGATTATGAAGAAACGACAAAATTCACTTTAACCGTTCAAGCTTCAGATGAAGAAAAGAAGCATTTTTCGTTTGCAGTTGTGCTTATCAATGTCCTGGATGATAATGATCATGCACCTCAGTTTATGTTCTCGAGCTTAAATTGTGTTGTTCCTGAAAATGTGCCTGTTTTCTCCACCATATGTTCCGTAAATGCTCTGGATTTTGACGCAGGTCCTTATGGAGAACTGACCTATTCTGTGTTGTCGCCCTGTTCGGTCACTCACGGGATGCCTCGTGATCATGACCCCTTCCTCATTGACCCTTTAACAGGGGATATTCACACTCAGCAAGTCCTTGACTATGAAAATGACAATAAATACTGCCTCACAGTGCAGGCAAAAGACAAAGGTGACTCAACAGCCACTTTAACGGTTTGGCTGGATATTGAAGGGATAGATGAGTTTGAACCCATGTTTACTCAAGAGGAGTATTTTTTCAACCTTCCAGAGAAGAATAAAGTGAGACAGCTGATCGGCAGAGTGGAAGCATCGGATGCAGACGCGGGTATTGATGGAGTTGTTCTGTACTCTTTGGACGTTCCATCTCCTTTCTTTTTAGTGAATAAAACGAACGGAAACATCTATTTGACTAGAGCACTTCCCCTAATAAGAAGTCAGTTCCGTGAACAAGACACCATTGAAATGAAAATCATCGCTCGTAGCCCCAAACCGGACTCCAAGTTTACATTCTGCACTGTTTTTGTGAATGTGTCTTCTTTCTCAGAAGGACAATACTCAGGAGTATCTGGCAGCGGCTTTTCAATCAGCCTCACGGTCTCCTTTTTAGTGTTTCTGACACTCATCTTCATTCTAATTGTACTGATTTTAAGACATAAACAAAAAGACGCAGCCAACAATTACAAAGACAAGAAAACATCATCCACCTTAGATATCAGTTTGAGACTGACCACAGAGGGCAGCATGCTCAAGCCCTTCCAGAAGACTAACGAGGACAATAACGCGGTGGTGCCCGCGGACTCCCTGCCTGAGTGGTTGAGCTTAATAAGTCTCATGGAGAAGGACATTGTGAATTTGTACAGGCACTCAAACTCCAGTGGCCACTGCTCTGTGGAAGGAGAAACTGCAGAAGATAAGGAAATCCAGAGGATAAACGAGCATCCTTACAGAAAGGACGCTGGCTCAGCTCTGAGTGACCGGGAGTCCAGGGTCCCAGACTCTGGAATCCCAAGGGACTCGGACCAGCTCTCCTGCTTGTCTGGAGAAACCGATGTGGTGGTCACTGCTGAAACAGCAGAAACCAGCCATGCATTTGGGGAAGAAGATCGAGAAGGCTGTGGCACAACCTATGTTCAAAATAATGTGTTACCCCAGACACTAAAGAAGAGAGAGGTAAAAGAGAGCATCCAGGCTGATGTCAGGAGAGAGTCCGTCTTTATTTCAGGGGATCAGGAAGCAAGGTGTGTGGCTCTTTCCCCCCAGAGAACCTCTAATCACGATGTGAGAGGCAACTACCACTGGGATTATCTCCTCAGTTGGGAACCCAAGTTCCAACCTCTCGCCTTGGTATTTAACGATATTGCAAAACTAAAGGACCAACATTTACAGACGTCTGGCATTCCTAAAGAGAAGTCTTTGGTTTTCCCACCACCTTTGATTACTGCAGTAGCCCAGCCCGGGCTTAAAGCAGTTCCACCAAGAATGCCAGCCAGAACCCCGGGGCAAGTGCTTCACAAATACCCACACTCCCCCCTTCCCTACCATCTCAGTTCTCTGCCTGAAGCCATGACTCCCAGCTTTTCTCCATCTCTTTTCCTGCTGACTACAAAGACCCCTGCTGTGACCGCACGGTCGTCACGTGGGGAATCGTCAGGAACACATCTGAGTGGTACATGCCGTGAAATTAAAGCAGAAGATGAAGTTCAAATATAACCTGATTGTGAGGTCACCATCGGTCATGAATGGTTGAACAAGACATTCTTAAGCTAGCTCTTCAAGATTGGTTAAAATGCAGTCAGGGTTTGCAGAATCTCCTCATTTAAGTTTCTCAAATTTCTTCCAGCCTTAATGAGAAGTTACCCCCCTCTTTTAACCTTTCTGTTTTGCTCTCAGGACTCAAGTTTGTATATAAAAGTAGTGTATATTCTGTCGTACCTGGTTTTCTGTATGATTAAATCTCCAAAGAACACCATGAGCTAGACTGACTGCCAAAATGTTTCTATGAAAATAAATGGAAAATAAGTATAGTGCAGTCCGGTCACATTACTGCTGATTACACTGCTATACTTAAAATAGATTAGTTAAGACTGAATAAGGAATGAATGTAGGACAGAAAATAATGGAGAGGGGAAATGGGGAACGATAAATTTAAATGTTAAAATGAAGTCATTTTCTGTAGATCTAGTATGTTTAGAGTTGTATTTCTCTCCTTTCCCCAACCTCATTTAGGGAGTTTTGCCATAATTTGAATTTTAATATGGTGTCTTTTGGACATCTAATGAGAAATTAAGAATGAAATTTGTCATAACTGTGCCAAATAAGAAAATTATTCCTGATTAAGTGAACCAGAAATGCATGGTCTTGATAGAGGGCCAGGATTGTTAGAAGCAATAAGTATATGGTTGACTGCCACCCAAGACATATTTGCTTGGCCTTCTTTACAAAGAGAATGATGATTTTTTTTTTTTCAATGCTCTGTCTTATAACATAGTACAGGTATAGAAATTAAATTTTAAAGATTAATTTGTAGATATTCTTCATTTTATTTTCTTCTAGATACAGTAACTTTGGGTGTGAAATAATTTATCCATTCAACCTCACTTTTAAAAGTTTGTCTAGATAAAATTATGTTATTAGCTAATAATAAATTCCATAGAGTAATTTAGCACTATATTTTTAATTGAAGATTTTTTATATAAATATTTCTACTATAAAAGTTAAGAATGGATGTCAGAAGTCTCTCTTCCATCTGTTCATACTCACCTTTAGTTTTAACTGTCATTAGATGGAGCAATTTGACAACATGGTTAAAATAATTGTTTTGTCCAGCTACTGTTTCAGGTATATAGTGGTGTTGTGTGGTGCTTACATATAATGCTATATCCTTCTCTCTGGTGAGCCTGAGAATCCATCAAAGATTCTTATCCCTTCCAGAAAAGCTGAGGGCATGATGCTGCTGATGGTCCAGAAGTCATCCATGGTAGGCAACATGGCCTTGCTTTGGGATAAGAGTTTAGGATTCTAATGTCAAGTCTAGAAGGCATCTAATATGGTTTTCTTTAGTTAGTGTGAGCTTCTGCTGTAGAAATATTTCCTTTATTTTTTTCAATAGGCCTTATCTGTAAAATTATGTGAGGTACCTAATTTCTCTTAACTAGAAAACATTGCAAGATGCCATGTTTGATATCTGGTTTTGTAGATAAATAATTCTAAGGCTTCCTATGCTGATTTTATTAATTATATATCTGCTGATTCTTAGAGTGGGAACAAGCATATAAAACCACATCAGAAATTATATGAAACATGAAGGCTTTTGGACGAGCCTAGAATTCTAGGGAAAGTCATTTAGTCATGGAACACTTAAATATTAAAAGATGGATGCATGTCTCTCCTTTTCTTCATGGCATACAGGGAAGAAGATTTCATGGTTTTTCTAAAGAAATTAATCATTTCAGTGTTCCAATATTTGTTCTCTTTGACTTCCTTCAAAAAATTACTTTGAGCATACAAAAGAAAACCTGTACTAATTTTTTTTTCCTAATTATATATGGAAGTCTTGTTTTGCAAGAGATTTATTACTAGGAACCAAAAACATTTTGTTGTTTTTAATTAAACAAGTTCTTCATTTTACTTATGTTTAAAAAAGAGTCATCCATCTAATTCTTCCCTGAGTTATTGGCCTGTGATTTGTTACCCACTCTAGACACAATTCTGCATTTTTCTAGACATTTAATAAAAACAGAAGACATGAGGTATTTAGAGCTCTTCCTTACTAATATCTGGTGGATTTTTAATTGATGACTTTATTATACTGTATCCAATGCCTCACCACCACCAAACAGTGCTGCTAGTGGAGTTAAAACTGAAAATGTGAACACACTGGCTAAGTGTTTGCAATCAATCCTATGTCGGCCCTTTCAACTAGAGTGCTTTTTTCCTGAGTAAACAATTTAATTTGTATAGTTTTCCTTCAAGTTTAATATTAACTTGCCTCATATGTTCTGTGTTACTTTGCTGATCTACACACCAGCTTTAGCACTCTGGAGGGGGTACAGAACTTGTTAGTGGAAAATCATATTAAGCCCCAAATTCATAAGCTATAAAATAAAAGACAGTTGTCTCTTGCGGAATTTTGGCTGCCTGAAATTCTGGGCTTTCTTGTTGGCAGCTTCAAAATACTGGTGTAAATCGGTACCAAATGGATATCAAAATTCCATGTCCTAGTAGTAATCATTGAATTGGTTTCCAAAACAGATTCCTGGGCAAAGAAAGGGGGGAAAATTCTGTATGTTTAGGGATTTAGTCATCTAACTGTTCTTTAAGAATATTAAAATGTCCTATAAATTCCTGGCTCCCTGCACGTACACATACCTAGTCTGGGATGGCTGTCCACTTGAGACAGGAGCTGTGCTTCTCAGCACCTCTACCCTCAGCCTCAGAACCCCCCTTGCTGTGTTTTCCACAAGTTAGAGGGATGAAAATGAATTATTAATTTTAAAACTATTGCTTTGCCATTTTACACATACCTTAACTTTAGCTAAAAAACACAAAACATAATTAAAAGGATCTAAGATGATGATCCACTTCAAAGCAGTGAGGTACGCGGAGTGAATCCGGTTGCTGGATTCTCGCAGGATATTACGGATAAATGCATTGGGTTTATCGTCACAGCGTGTTCCGGTTGAGCTCCCAAGTCTATAGCGCCATCTGTTTGGTCATAGCCTTAGGATGAGGATAGTTAGGAAGAGAGTTAGGATGGAAAATCATTCTATCCAAGAGGAATACCGAGATCAGTGAAGCTGTAGAAGCTTGGCTTTGACCAAGACTGGGCATCCAGCATGAGTCACTGAAGGTAGGTTTCATCCATTACTGAGGTAGAGGGAGAGAAGGAAGGAAGGCTGGAAGAGGAAATAGAAGAGTCAATCTGAAAAGCAATAGTTTAGGGCACAGGTAGAGAAAGGCAAGAAGGCAAAAGGTTAGGACCAAAAACTATTTTTCAGTGTAAAGATGTCGCTGAGTCGTTTGTCCTTCATAAGTTCATCTTGTCAAGGAATTTTTTTTGGGGGGGGGAATCTCTTTTCTCCTTCTTCCCTTCTGTTCTTCCAAGTATCTCCCTTCATTATCTGAAAATTTAGGTTTATCAAGTTGTGAACCTAAAGCTACATGACAATGACCTAGAATACATTCTACCATGAAAAGGTGAATTTGTTGTGGTTCTTGTTTCGGGGTTTTGGGGGGTATGTGTGTGAATTATAGAATAAAAAATTGGGAATGATTACTTTACCTGCTCACTCCACATAACTTTGGCATTGAGAGTGACACAATTTTTAGTAGGTGACTTTACACATATTCCAAGCAATGGATAGTTTAAAAAGCAGTTGGGACAGAATATAGAATTTTAGTACCTAGTCTTTTTTCTGGTAGTGCTTGCCTGAGAGCTGTGATTTATATTAAAATATCACATTTTATATAACTTTAAACCACAGATTAACACACAGGCATGGTCGATAGTTTTCAAATATTGTGAATTTTATTTGAATTCTGGTGGTATAAATTATTTTGATTCCACATAGATCAAAGAAATGTGTCTATTAGAAACAAAATTATGGCAGTCTTAGTATGATCCAGCCCAAAGTGGCTGGAGTATCAGACCATACCTTTCACTTGTAAACTCAGAACTTGGCTATTTGATGACAATTTAGCACTTCCTACTGTTTTGGTCTACATAATTTTCCTCATTTCACCCAATATATTTGCTAAACCAAAACTGTGAAGTGAGTAATAGAGAGGGAGAAAGCATACCAAATAAATAACAGATGCACAAGTGCATCTCTTGAATGAGAAAGCATTATTTTGGTTAGAAAGCTAAATACATGGATTTCATTGCTAGATAGTAAACCCTCAGGGCAAAGGCCTGGTCTCCACTTGTATTATGAAATACAGATGTTTCTGAGAATGAATGAGTACGTATGTGAATGGGCACGGGGGGGCTGTAAGGTGAGGGTGTGATACATAGGCCTTGAACCCATTAGGTGGGAATTCTAATACAATTCCGTGATTTAGCCAGTCAAAAGCAGAAAGAAAGCAACTGTAAGATCTTGTCAAAATATTATAGAATATTTTAGATAAAATCAAGTGACTAGAAATTTTTCTGTAATCTGATTTGTTTTCTCTTTCTTTCTCCCTTCCTTACAATATTCATACATTTCTTGTGAGTTTTAGACATAATAGAAACAAGTTATTGATGACATTCAAAAACACATTGTTTGAGACAGCAACATTACATGACCAAACACATTGGTTTCATTTAATTTCAGATCCTATAATAACCATGCCTGCCCTATGGCTGGCAGAATCAAGTTCTATCAATACGAAAAGAGAGTGCAGTTCTGTAGAAATGCCTAGAATGTTTAAATCAAAATGTATTAAAATTTAAAGTAAAAACAATATGAGGAGTTTATGAAAATATTCTATGTGTGCATATACTTAGTATGTGCTAAAAGTGATATTTTAAATAAGTACAGGGTATTTAATAAATGTATACTAAGTAGGAGGTAAATATGAAGTTATTTATCCTCATACCATAAAAAAAATTAATTCTACTCAGATTAATGAGTAAAAATTAAAATTAAATCGTAAGAACTGGAAGAAAAGCACAGAATAAAAGTGAGAAAGATCTTTTTTAAACATAAAAGCAAAGGTAGAGTACTAAATTTGAACTTAGCACCTAATAATAGAAAGCACTATAACAAGTTATAAGAAATAATTATAAGAAATTATAGAATTAATATTATAAGAAACAATAACTGAGAAATGCTTCATAAATTTAATCAACAAATATTTACTTAGTACCTCTTGGGTACAAGGTATGGATCTGAGCTCTGGGAATATAGGAATCAACAGAACAGAAAAAGCCAGTGTGTTTACAGTGCTTACATTTTACTGAGGGAGATAACAATAAAAATATGCTTTCAAGTAATGTTAAGTGTTACAATATAAAGAAAACTAAAGAAGGATACAGGGAAAACCAGAGAAGAGATTGACAAAGTGGTAGGGGAATATAGCAGTACTGTTTTGATTGAATGTTCTGGAGAGATGTCTCTGATATGATGCTATTTGAGTTGAATGAAGTGAATGAGCCATGGAAAGAGCCAAAGGGAAAGCAGTGAAGTTACATGTGTCAGCAAGTATGGAAGCCCTGAGGTCAGAGCCATGTGGAGTGTTTGGGAAAGTATAAGCCAGCATGGCCTAGAACCTAGTGGGAGGAAGAGTAGTAGGAAGAGTAGGAAGTGAGATCACGGAGGAAACTAGGGTTCAAACCCTATTGGACCTTGTAGACTGGGATAAAAGGCTTCAGATTTTGTTCCAAGTGTTAAGGGAGATCACTGGTGATATTATCTGATTTATATTTTTAAAGAGTAAGTGGCTACTTTGTGGAAGATAACCCAAGGGGTGGGAGAAGGTTAGTGCAATCATAGTACCCCAGTTAATTGGTTATTGCAGTAATCTCAGCTAGTGATGATTGTAGCTCAGTGTGGGTGTTATAATGGAGGTGAACAGAGTCAAGATATATATTGAAAGTAGTGTTGCTAGCTCTTGATAATGAACTGAATGCGAGGTTTGGAGAAAATCAGACATGAGTCTAGGGTTTAAGAGAATTTAGGCTTCTATAGGAAAAAAATTGGGGAGTCATCAGACTATGGATAGTAAAGTCATGGGATTGGATGAGATCACTGAGGAGTAAGTGTAAATAGAGAAAAGATCCCAGGACTGACTCCTGAAGCACTAAACAAAAAGTCAGAAAAAGAAAGAAGAGGGGCACCTGGGTGGCGCAGTCAGCTGGGCATCTGACTTTGGTTTTGGCTTGAGGGAAGATGGTCGTGATCTCAGGGTCATGGGATTCAGCCCTGCACAGGTCTCCACACTCAGTGGGGAGTCTGCTTGGATTCTCTCTCCCTCTCACTCTGCCCCTCCCTCCCCTCTAAAATAAATAAATAAATCTTGAAAGAAAGAAAGAAAGAAAAAAAGAAAGAAGATCCAGCACATAATTCTCAGGCAAAACCATTGAAGAGAGATAGAAAAGCAGGGTTGTCCAAAATCCCAAAAGCCAAGTAAAGAAAGTGGTTTAGATTGTAGTTGGGGCAACATGCCAACATTAGTGTAGATTTTTAAATCTTCCCAGTCACCTTACCAGACAGTCAGAGAATCTAGAACAGTAAAATGGACATCATCTTTAACAAAAAGTGAAATCATTCCTACAAATTCTAGAATATGAGCCGGTAAGTAAAAGCACCAACTATTAGCAGTAACAGAGGGGAGAAAGTAGGAATCTCTAATTTTCTTTGAGCCTGAAAACAAAGAATCACCAAAAGTACTTACCTACTTAAGGAAAAGTCTGTTCTTGGAGCAGAAACCTAGCAGGATGGTCTGAGAATAACTATCAAAACTGGGAAAGGGCTGAAGAGCTCCTACTTAACTACAGATGAGCATAGAAAGACTAAAGTATAAATTATATTATGCTGGTATGTCCAAGTTCCCAGAGTTTCCAGAAATACACAATCACAACTTCTAGAAGAACAGAATCCCACACTAAGTAAAGTCTACTGAAAGTAGAATTTAAATTTATATGATTGGTAAAGGGAAAGAAGTCCTAGATACAAAACAGGAAAGGGGACCAGAGAAAGTAGATGATACAGTGAGGTCCTACTTATAAGTACTTTGCAAAAAAAAAGGGAAGAGGGGGCTCTAGAGCCATGAATCTAGGAAAGCTATCCTGTTCTGCCACCACCCCACACAGTAACTTCCTAAAGTAAGAGGTCCCATCTCAGTAAAGCATGAGCAGCAGAAAATAATTGCAATATAAAATATATTGTAAGCAAACAGACTAGTTCTCTGAATGATGTGCCAGTGCACAGTGGAGACACGTCAGAAAATATGGCAAAAAAGGTCAAAGAGAACTGTGACTTAATATCTCAAAACTAGCTAAAGGAAATTAAGAAAACTAAAAACTATAAAGGTTGTGTAATCAATCAGAAAAGTTCAGAGATAAAAAAGACTAGCTGAGAGGAGGACATTAAGTGAAAAACAGCTCAATGAACAATTAAGAATAGAAGAAAAAATTCAGAAGACTAGACTGGAAAGAACAAAAAGTTAATAGACATTAATGAAACTATAGTAAGTGAAATAGAAAAATGGAAAGGAAAAAATGAAAAACACCAAATGGAATTGAAAAAATTAGTTTTAGAGTTGATAGATTTAGCAGAATGTAAAAAATGATTTGACACATGTCTAAATGTAATTCCCAAAGAGGAAACTAAAGAAATGAAACCGAACAAACATAAAAACCATAATTTAATAAGGCTTTCCAGACAAAATCCAAAATTTGAATCTATATATTAAAAAGGTGTACCATATAAAAATCAACAGACAGCAGTTAATAACAAGATATATTTTAAAAATCTCTTCGTTTCAAAGAGAAAGAATATATCCTTTGGACCTCCAGATAAAAAAGCCAACTTAAAGGGAAATAATGTAATTGACTTACTTTTCAATAGCAGTATTTTAAGCCAAAAAACTGTGGGGTACTGTTTTTAAAATACTTGAAGATAATGGAAGCCAAAAATGTGTACCTACCTAAACTTATCTTTAAGTATATCTGTCTTAAGTGAGGCTATGAATATGCAAAACCTCAAGGAATATTCCTGAAGGATCAACTAGAGAATGAATTCAGACAACTGAGAAATACTGGGGAAGGTTCACCATAAGGACATTAAATATATTTAACTGTAGAGTCGATGGTAGATGTAAAGGTGGTAGAATAGTATATATTTAATATATGTCCTCACAATAGAAATAAATTGCAACTACAAAAAAATGGAGGCAGAAAAAAAGAGTATATGGGTATAGAATACTTGCTAATTGCCTTATAGATACCAGATGGGGGTAAAAGTTATTAAAATTAGAAAGAAGATGAAATTTAAAAGAAAAAAAAAGAAATTAAAGGTAAGAACAAATTAATGAGTTAGAAAAAGAAGTAAACAAAAAGAAATCCACAGAGCTTATGAATAAATAAATTGGTTCTTTAAAAATCAATTAAATCAGTTACATAAATTGAGAAAATACAAAACAATAAAATAGTATATGAAATAAATAATATACAAAATAA